CTCTTTCCTCTGAGTCCCAGTTATTTGGTAGTGGTCAAGTGGTCACTCTCAAGGAAACTCACCAAGTGGTCAAGAGCATGGCTGATTACTCTGGACTGAAGATTGTCTCTCTGAGAAATTGTTTCTTTATCAAATGATTACCCTGGGCCCCACTGTCTGATATTTTGATGTGTCTGGACCCTTCAGAAGTGCAGGAGTCACAGTTCACCACTAGTCAGTACACAGACTGGTACGGTATCCTCATCTTTTTTCTTCTTTTCTGTCATACTTTTGTTTTCCAGGTTATGCTCTTTTTCTCACATTTCGTTTTTACCCAGGAGCAGAATTCTCCTGATTGCCTTAAAGACATTTTAAGAGATCAACTTCTCTGCATTAACCAGTGAAGTGCTGCAAAGCACATCAAGTGCTTCCACACCCACTACTATCAGCATGAAGACACTCTCGTAACTGCCTTTTCATTGGAGTAAAAAGCCAATGATCCTACATCTGAATGAAATTCCCATAGGAATTCCGAGTAGCAAGCATGCAATTACACATCTGACAGTTTGACCAAACCATCTGCATTACTATAACAATTCTCAAAAGAGTAAAAGTAATTCCACTTGGCTCAGAAGATGACAACTTTCCAGGATACATTATGACCCCCAAGACTGTGGTCGGGCACTAACTCAGACTCACGAGGACGATCTGCCTTTTTGGCACTTCAATCACATCTCTGTTTCGGTGCTGTGTAGGGTCAACTATTTGCAACTTATTATGACTGACAATTTTGTAATATGCAGCAGTGTGACTATAACCAAGGAAAAGGAGGAGTGCTTTTCCAAAAATAAGTGCTAGAGGGAGAGAAAAAAGAAAGTGGGCAATGCAAATAAGGAGGAGATATCCCAACTATTCTAATAGCTCTTATTGTGGCTTCCAGGTAGGCAGTAACATGGATCTCTTGGGGCTCTCCTCCTCTCAAGCTTCAAAGCTACTGCTTCCAGCCAGTAAGAGCTAACACTGCTTTCATAGCAGGAATCAATACATCACTTGAAAACCGCCCAGCTGGATAGAAGAAAGTTTCAGTGTCATACGTTGAGTCTATATTAAAAGAGACAACAAAAGCAGAGCATTAAAACTCCCAACACTATATAACAACTCCAGTACCCATAAACTGAAAGATGATACAGTAAAACTAACTACAACATTTCATTGTTTAATACTCAGCTGCATTTGCAAACACTGCAATCAAATCCATACACGTGCACGCTGCAGGGCAATACAAGCAGGGGTCTTGTGTTCCTACAGAAGCGACTCCAAGGCACCTCACTGCAACCAAGTAACACTGCTGTCCCCATAAACGACAAGAAAGGACTGTTTTCCAAACATCCAGAAGTTCTGCTCTCCAGAGAGCTCTCTAGGGATTCTCGAATCTGGGCTACTAACCAAATCACAGAATCACAGAATGTCAGGGATTGGAAGGGACCTCAAAGGATCATCTAGTCCAATCTCCCTGCCGGAGCAGGACCGCCCAGATCAGATCACACGAGAACGCGTCCAGGTGGGTTTTGAACATCTCCAGAGAAGGAGACTCCACCACCTCTCTGGGCAGCCTGTTCCTGACTTCCTCGAAGGCTGGGGAGCTGAGTGCCCTGCTGTGCAGCTGCACACTCGTGCTAGA